AAAAATGGGTCATGGCAGGTAGTCATGTCCTAGGCCTGTAGCTTCCTTGACAAAGCTCAGTCTTTACCTTAAGTGAGCTTGTCTATACTGTCTTTTTACATCTAAGATAACCTACCTTCAAAATGTCATAGTCATCTCCTTTTCCAGACCCCTCAGGGCACACCCACCACACAAGAACACAAGACCACAGAACCCCTCATTGTTATCTTATTCCCCAAATATCATTTCTATGTGCTATAAATGCTAATTATTAACTATCCTGTACCCCTCAATGTAAAAGAAGTATGTGTCTCTCCATTTTATTTTTTATCCAATCCCAGAAACTTCTCCACTTTGCTTTCTCCCACCCCCTTAATCTACCACCAATGGATTTCATGTAACCCTCCTTACATCTCCTCCTTTGATTCTAATATATAAAATAAGCTGCAAAACTGGCATTCTCTGAGTATTTTCCCAATGTGTTGAGATTTTGCTTTCCAGCAATTGTCATCAGTTTGGCTCAAATAAACACATAAAAGTTCTCTACAGGTTTGGATATTTCTTATATCGACAATGCCTTTATTGTATAGTATGTGTAATTTTAAAAAATGACTCATTAGTGAAAGTCCTAGATCCTGATTGAAGTCTTTTTAAAAAATAGGTGAATTGGGTGAATTTTAAACATAATTATTAGTTTGTTTAGTATCGACAGGAAGGATGAAAATACATTTCCTTACATTTTCACTTAAAATCATCACATAGCTTTGATAAGTAATGGGGCTAAGGGACCCTGCTGGTTATTAATTAACCGTGTTTATTTATTGTATTCCCAGGGCTTTGATATACATTATCTCTTTTAATGCTCTAAGCACTCAAAGTTTTCTGACTCCAAGTTCCATGCTTAAACCCTCAAATCATTTGGTAAATCAAATGTAAGTCAATACAATTCAGCAGGTTGTGGTGGCTAAAAAAAACACTTTTTCTTGTACCTACACAGTTCTTCTAGCTGGTCTAATAGTCAAATTAACAGAGACAGATTAACACGGGAAATAAAATTTTAATACATGCACATTGGGGAATTTGCATAAGCATGAAAATTCCAAAGACAGTTAGGGAACGCTGGGTATATATGATATTTCGGACAAAGAGAAAGGGTGGGGGAAATGGGGTATTAGATTTCAGAAGTAAGAATGGGTGATTTATAGATAGATGAAGACAAGCGGAACAGACATGGCAGAAAAATTCTTGCCAGGCAATTCAGAAACATTGGGACACAGTAGGTATCTAGCTAACAGTCTCCTGCCTGAAGCCCTTCTATCGACTATACCTAATTCAAATTAGGTGAAGGTGAACGTCCTAAGATTTGCTTTCTGAAACAGGATTTTCTGTTTGAATCTCTTGGGTAGGAAAGCAAGGAGGGTCAAAGGTTCTTTCTCAGTCTTGTTTCTTTTTTCTTTTCTTTTTTTTTTATTAGTTTCATGTGTACAGAACAATACAATAGTTAACCTTTTCACCTCTCACAAAGTAACAACCCTCCTCCCCCATCCACTGCCCTCCCACCCCAGATGTCATACTTATCTATTACAATTCCAGTATCAGTCTTGTTTCTTAATAAACAGGTTAAAACCAATATCCCCAAAAGGCAGCTTCAGAGTGGCAACATTTTGGTTCTCTTCACATTCTAGAAGAACACCTACCTTGCATTCAAACAGAGTCCCCACACCTCAGACCTGACTCTTGGTAAAAGATTTATTCACCTTGGCTGTTTCTACCTGGACTGAGAGCGGATTGATAAATGGATTTGTTAATGTAATTTAATCCAAAATCAGCTATTCAACCACATCTTTTTGTCATGTATTATTATAAAGCCAGGGAATAAAATAATGAGATAAAAGTCTCTAAGTGAGCCTACAATCCTGTGAAAGAAAACACAGTTCGGTATGATAACTGCTAGAATGTAAGAGCATATCATATGAAGGGCGTTAGGAGCACAGAGGATACAAGAAATTTAGTGAAGCCAGGAGAATAATGATAAATATGTATGTGTAACTTTAGTTAAACCTTAAAGAATCGGTAAAAGTTCAACAGACAGATAATGGAAGAAGGGCGATAACATGAAGGGCAGGAAATAATCTACTTTTAAGAACCTCCTGTCACAGTATATGCAGGCACCATTCCGGGTTTATATTTATTTACCTGGTTAACACTCATGCCAGTCCTACGAGGTCATTTCTATCAACATTCCCATTCCACAGTAAAAAATAAATGAGACACAATAATGTTAGGTAACTTGTCCATGCTGAATCAGCTAAAAAGTACAGGGGCTGGGAATCAACCTAAGTCAAGGCCATACTGTAAATTAGGCCATTTCACTCTGCTTCACGTCCCTCCTGAAGATGGGAATCAGAGAACTAGCAAGAGAGTGGGCAGCTGGGACGGATCTGAGAAACGTTTTGGGCACCATAGTTGAATGAATGCGGAGATAAGAGTGCTGAGTCAAAATTAAATCATGCTGTTAATGATACTAGGAAGACTATGTTTGGAGGTGATGCTGAGATTGTTGTGAGCATGCTGAACTTGACCTTGGTAGGATCAATTAGGTAGTTATGTCTAGAACGAAGTTGCGAGTTTGAGTCTGAAGGTTGCTTAGCCAGTTCAGAGCTAACATGATGGGAATGAAGCACTTGCCTCAGGCACAAAATTTGAGGGAGATGGCAAAATTAATGCCAAAAGTGATGAACCAAATATCAAAATTTTAAGTAAAGGAAGATCAGTATTTTTCTTTTTTAAGACCTCAGCCTCCAACATGACCTCATACAGCATTAACAACTCTGCCTTTGAAATTTTGTTATTTTTTTATGAGTTTTCAAATAAGTTTTATTTTTTTAAATAAACTGCCTCAAAATAGTATACTGCCTCTTGATTACCGCGCTATGTTTGGTGCATCCCAGACTTGTGTCTCACTTAGTCCTGGCTTAAACGAGAGGGAAATTCACTTACCTATGCCAAAGTTCTTTTTTATTTCTCCACTAAAAGGAATTCCTTCACTGAAAGGAAAGGAATTAGGGCCGGCCGAGTGGCGCGATGGTTAAGAACTCGCTTGGGATGCCAGAGGGCCCCGGTTCGGATCCCACATATGAGGGCCAGTGACACTGCCCTCTACAGCTAAGATGCTGAACAACAGCTCAACCTGGAGCTGGGTTGCCGTGGGTTGCCGTGGGTTGCCTTGGGTTGCCGTGGGTCGCCGGCGACGGCGTGGGCTGCAGCCCCTGTGGCAGTGGGTTGCCATGGGCTACCGTGTGTAGCCAGCAGCCAGCGTGAGCGGCCAGCAGCCAGCAGCCAGCGTGAGCGGCCTGCAGCCGCAGTGAGCGGCCGTCCAGAAGCCGGCGACTGATCTGCCTCACCCTGGAAGAGCGCAATGATGGTGCCAACTTGGGCCAGTGAAGCAACGTCCTCCACAACTAGACTGAAGAACAAAATGACAGCAACTTGTCTGTTCCCCTTCCCCCAATTCTCCAGCACTGTTCCCATCCCCCCAATTCCCCAATAAAAATCTTAAAAAAAAAAGGAAAGGAATTATCACTAATACTGAACTTAAGTGATAACTCTGATTTTTAATTAACTTAAGTCTAGAATACCATTTCTCATATTTTTACCCTAGAGAAACGAAGAGAACAAATAATTTCCCCTTTACAGGTGAAGAAACCAAGACATATAATGGCTCGGTGGCAAAGTTAAAACTAAACTTCTTGGTGCTGCATGGGACACCCTCGATCAGAAGGTTCTCTGGGAACAAGTCAGGGAAAAAAATGAAAATATAAAGTACACTTATGCAAACAAATCTTGGCCAATAATTTGGATTGAAAGAATAAGTTATTGTAAAGAGTATGTGCTTTTGCATTAGACTAAAACGGGTTTGAATTCTTTGGGCAGTCACCAGTTGAGTGGCCTCTGACAAGTTTCAAAGCCTCAGTTTCCTCATCTGTAAAATGAGCCTTACACACCTGCCCTTAATTGTCTGGGTTAGGAGGGAAAAAGAGAATAATGATATTTCTCAGTCAGTATCTCAACCTATAACAAATGACACACAGAAAAACAGGAAAATTCCAGGAGATTTTTCTTAAGTGGCAGGTGAAATGGAGGTAAATTGCATTGCACAGCTTGTACTTTTGATTTTTTTTTTACCATGGTCGTGTAATACCTATTTAAAAACAAATTAATTAAGGAAAATCAAATTGTGCATTATTAGTGACTTTTGGGGACTCTTGTAATTTGGGAAAAAGTGACAAAAATGTACACGCATAAAAATTATCTTTCTTACTCTTTACCTAAAGATTGATTTGCTTTTTCAATAACAGTAAAATCCTTTGCTTCGGTTAAATGAATGCAAAATAAAGAGTAAACCTTCATTTTGCACCGGAAAAGCAAAAACAGTAAGGAAAACAATGAGAAGATCAGCACCTTGAAGCTAGGGAACAGGTAACTAACTCTCAAGGCAGGCCAAGCATAATCACAGCCGCAAACAGCCCAACCTGAGAGCACCCCAGGAGGGAAGGCTGCTGTTAATTTCATCAACTTTCTTGGCCAAAGGACACAGGTGGCAAAGAGCTTAACCACAGCTCCTGAACCCCTGGGGATTTCCAGAACCCTGCCCCCCCCCCCCACCGGGGTGGAACCGCCAGTCAGCCTTCCAGGTTTCATCCTTTCCAAGAAAACCGACGTGCTGTTTTTCAAGGTATATTCAAACTGGAAGATTAAGACAGACAAGTTCAGCCATCGAGAATGGAGAGACTGGCCAATGGAGTGATGGCATTAATCATTACGATGATTATTACCTGGCCAACCATTTTTTTCAAAACGATGCGCCAACCAGTTTTTATTGTTAATCTCCTCCCATCGGCTCCCAACGCCCTTCCTTGGAGGAGGCATTTCCAAGAATTTCTATAAATTCCTTCCGGCTCTCAGTTTTTAGAGACCCCGATTCCCTTCGTACCCCGGGATGGGAGCAGGAGTTTGGTACTAGGCGCGGCGCTCTCGCTGGGAAGGGCCGGGCTCCTGGAGAGCAACTCCTGCGTGGGCACTTAGCCCCTCCCGTTTCGCTGCCCCGCCTCCAGGCAGGGCAAACCTATAAAGTCGCGGCGAAGAGGGTCCCTCCCGGTGCTCTCGGTGCAGTCCGACTCCGAGGTCAGCAAGGTCCCGGGCCCCCTCTCAGGAGCATCGCAAGCCGGAGTCATGGCCCAGGAGCTGTACCACGCCGAGTTCGCCCGGGCGGGCAAGAAGGCGGGGCTGCAGGTTTGGAGGATCGAGAAGCTGGAGCTGGTGCCGGTGCCCAAGAGCGCTCACGGCGACTTCTACGTCGGGGATGCCTACCTGGTGCTGCACACGACCAGGGCGTGCCAGGGCTTCACCTACCGTCTGCACTTCTGGCTGGGTAAGGGAGGCGGGCAGCCGGACCCGGACGCTACCAGGTCAGGGAGGGGCGAGGCTTCGGTGGGGCTGAGATTTGTAGGCTGGGGGAAGGGAGAAGGGAAACTGGGCTGGCCTGGTTTGCGCTCCTGCGGGGCCGCGCCGTTGAGGCTGGCCTCCTTCTCAGAACCCGCTCCTGCAAACGCGGCTGCAAACGCGGGGCGCAGCGAAGTCAGGGGCAGTTATGCCACTGACTTTGACCTTTGCGGTGTCCATCTCCCGGGTTTGGGGGGGCTTTCACCTTGCAGCTCCAACTGCCACTCCCTTCCCGGCCCGCTGCTCGGCTCACCCTGGCTCGGGCCAAGTCCCGCTGACAAGTTCAGTCCTGGTTTCCCTGTCAGGGAGCAGATGAAGTCAAACAAGTTTGTGGGCACCCGCCGCAGCCAGCGAGAAGTTGTTTTGTGTTGTTTGCTTTGGTTGATTCCCTTTTTTTTTTTTTTTTTTTTGCGTGCATTAAATGAGGATCCTGCTTGCAACCATGCTGCTTGCAGGTGTAGCGAACAAAGTCCTCTTTCTTAAGATGCTGAAGACTTTGGATGGAAACAGGAAACTATTTAATAGCTTTATATGGCCTATTTTTAAAATTTATTTATTTATTTATTTATTTTTCTTTTAGCTAGAGGCATAGGCTCCCGGGATATATGGCTTTTTTATTTAAATGAGCTGCTTTATTGTAATTATTTTTAAATTATTGTGCATCTATTTGAACAAGGACACAGTGTGGAACAAAACGTCTCCTTCAGCAGTTAATTATTTTGGGCTGCACTCGCGCCAGGCTCTCGGGACACTGGGCCTTGTGTGTTCTACTTTTTCCACCTTCTACTTTTACTCGTAAACATCCTGAATGTCCTGCCTCTCTCCCTGTGAGGTCCTGCGCCAGTGAGCACACCTCATCTAACAACGTGTCGATTATCTGAGCCTCATCGCCTCCTTTTAAAACTACCTTGCCTCCCCTGGACTTGCGTTTCTTATTTTTAGTTTTATTCCTGAGCGTATGGGGAAAACACACAAAGCCACACACACATCCACGTTTTGAAGACCCTGGGAAGCCCACGTTTTTATTCATAACGTTTGAAGATTTTTAAGAAAGAATGGTAGAAAACATTGCGAAGCAGTGTTCTCAATAAAGCTGTTATGGATATTATATTCATGCAAAAATGTATACAGGCATGTCCATAACAGCTTCATTGAGAAGCGCTGTTCTCAATGTTCGTTAATTCTTGGCGCAGACACCCCAGATGACAAATACATTGGGGGAGAAAGGACTGTTGTTCCCATTATAGATTTTGATGTTAAATTAAAAATTTGTGCTTGCTTGAAGATGCTGAAGCTGAGTTCCAAACTCATTTTGGTTTTCCATTGTAATGTCACTATTCCTATTATCAGTGCTCTATTTACATGTCATACAGAAATGCTGAAACCTTAATGCATAACCCTGTTCATGAATGAATGAGGCCAGATAGAATAATAGTGTCCTCACCTTGGTCTTTCTAGCCAGAACTTGGATCTGGAATAGAAGTGTCTGAAATGCTACATTTGTCATTTTGTTGAAATGAACTTCATATCTTGCTGTATACAACAGCTGAGTTTGACTTTGTCAAAATATTGCAAGAGGGCTTTGAACACACTTTTTTTTAATTCTGTAGGCTCCCTCTGATCCAAAGAAGGTCTTTAAGCACTATGTTTCCTAGGTTTTACAGAGAATCATTATTAATTATTAACTCGTAATCATTCATTTAGTGCTCACCAATTTTAAAAATGTAATAGAAAATGCTTTGGGCAGAAACATAATCTTGAAGACCCGCTAAAACTAAAGTTAATAGTGTGTTAATTAATAAGTTAATTTCCTTTTTTGGCAGTTTTATAACTTTATTCAACAATCAGCAGTTAGTTCTCATCCACATTATTAACTACCGGGGGTCTCAAAAAAATGTATACAAGTGGATACTTTGGTCAATGTTGCTCAAGCAGTAGTTCGCCGTCATCAGAAGTGTCTGGACGCTGATGGTAACCACTTTGAGGGCCTCTTGTAATTGCAGAAGTCAAAGGTGACTTGTATTCTTCTTTTGTTATCAGTATATATTGAGTATTACAATTTTAATATTTTTTCCCTTCTTAAAATGTGTATATCATCTTTTTTGGCACCCTCTGTATTTGTAGATTTTTGAAAGGGGTGACAGATGCACAGGTAACCAACATATAGAGCTTATTTGGTGACTCTTCGTCCGCATTACGCTTTCTGGACAACCGCACCCATACCCGTTATGGGGCATTATTCCTTTGACCCAGACAGCTTTGTTGAGTCTGGTGTCAATGCACACATCTGGGGTTTCTATCTCCTTCATGGCAAATTTCTGGATCTCTTTGAGTGCCTGTGGGGCATGCTTATTGACACCCACTCCATGGGAGCATTTTTGCTGGCCTCAAGTTGGAAAGGAAACAAATTAATTTCTTCAGTAATAATTCAATGTGTCCAGAATTGTAGAAGGCATTTTTACATATGAATAATTTATGAAACTTTCCTGAAAGTTTATAATCTCAGAGGTGCAATAAGGCAAAAAGTGATATAACACAGGTAGAATGTGATAAGCATTGTGAAAGAGACAGTGTCTGTGGTTAGGGGGAAACAGAAGCCTTGACAGGAAAAAAGGAAAAGGTGGGTAATTGGGAGGGATCTTGTGTCAAGAGAAAATCGTAGGGAACATGGAAAGTTTAGAGTGAAATGGTCAACAGGCCTTTAGATGGTATTGTTCAGCAGTTTTTCCTACTTCTATTCCCTAAAGGTGGATTTCATCCAAAATATTCTCCTCGAAGACCTAAATTTAGATAAATTCATGAGGATTAATCAGACAGATTCAGAGAAAGTTCCAAGACAGAGAGCAAAAGTTCAAGGGAAAAGGAAGTTTGACTAAAGGAAATCAGTTGGAAGGAAGGTGAAAGAGGGGAATTAAATCAGATTGAGATGAAAAAAGTGCATAGGATAGAAATGAAGAAACAGGCCAAGTAAGAGGAAGAAATGGGGAACGGAAGAAGTGGGACATGAAATAGGAGAATAGAGAGTCATCTTTCCTGGTCTGTCCTTCAGTGTCTTCCCATAATTCCCTTGCATATCTCCTATTATTTTTTTATTATTTTCTTGTTATTTACTTTACAAATTAAGAATGTGTTGCATATAACTTTAAAAATGCTGCATTGGTCCTTTCTAAAAAACATTTCAGCTTTGTACCTGGTGGTGTAAAGGCATCTACACTCCGTGTCTGGTTGCTTACAGCAGCGTGTCTATGAGCAGGGCTGGGTGATACAGCTGCTCTCTGCCACATCCGTACTTATGCCACAAACACCCACCCTCCGCATTTCTCCTTGCCAATTTTAAACGTTACATAAATATATTTGAGAACACCAAACATATACGGTATAACTAATTTGTGGTAGGCTCTATGCAAGGCACTGGGGATCCAAGGAATTGGATTACAAATATTGGGTTGTCGGAGAAGTCATGACGCATTTTTGCAACGAAAAACATAGAAAAAAATACGTCATGACTTTTCTGACAACCCAATACATACAGTATAAGGAACGTATAGAAGGGCTGGCGAGGATGCTGAGAAATGGAATTGTTCTGTAATATATTGCTTGGGAGAGGGGTATAAAATGGAACAACCGTTATGGAAATGAGTTGGGCAGTTTCTTACAACACTAAATATGCAATGGCCATATGACCCAGCAAATGCGTTCATGGACATTTATTCCGGAGAAATGAGAACTACTATTCATGCAAGCACCCACGCATGAATGTCCAGAGCAGCTTTATTTGAATAGACAAAGACTTAAATCAGCCCAGATATCCTTCAACAGGTGATACACATCAATAACAAGGAATACTACTCAGCAATAAAAAGGAAAAAACTTTTGATACACACAGCAACTCGGATGAACGTTCGGGGACTTATGTTGAGAAACAAAGAAAAACAACAAAACAACTAATACCAAATGTTCCATACTGTATGATTTCATTTATACAGCACTTTGAAAATGACAAAATTTTAGATTTATTGTTACTAAAGGTTAGGGATGGGTGGGGTTGGGGTGATGGAGGTGGGTGTGGGGATAAAAGGACAACATAAGGGATTTTTTGGTGATGGAATTAGACAGTCTCTTGACTGCGATGGTAGGTATATGAATTTACACGTGATAAAATTTTATAGAGCTAAATGTACAAACCCACATGGATGAGTACAAGAAAATTTGGGAAAATATGAAAAAGTTAAGTGGCTTATATCATGTCAATATCTTGATTGTGGTATTCTGTGCTGTACTGTACTTCTATGCTTATACTTTACTATACTGGGTATACTAAACTATAGTTTTACAACACGTGAACATTGGGGGACACACGGTCTGATGATTTAGGTGTCTGTACCTCCACCACTACCATACTGCCTGATTACTGTAGCTGTATAGTGGACATTAATATCAGATAGCGTTAGTCCTTCTAGCTTATTTTTATTTGTCAAGATTGTTTTAGCTTCTCTAGGGCCTGTGCCTTTCCTATCAATTTTATAAGAACTCATGTAATCTATAATAAACCTTTCTGTGATTTTGATAGGAATAGCATTAAGCCTATAGATCAATTTGGGAGAAAATTAACATCTTTATTATATTGAATCTTACAATCCATGAACACTATATCTTTTGAGTTACTAAGGTCTTTGATTTTTTTATCACCATTTTGTAATGTTTAATATGTAGATCATGTACCTATTTTGACATATATATATATTTATATATATATATATATCAATATTTCAGTTACTGTGATTGTAAATGGTATGATGCTTTTAATTTCAATTTCTGCATATTCATTGTTTCTGTTTAAAAATGAGACTGCTTTGTCATTGATTTCATCTCTATCCTTCTAGCTTACTAAATGCACTTACTCTGGGAAGTTTTATTTTTTTTATATTTCTGTAGATTCTTTAGGATTTTCTATGTAGAACATCTCTCAATAGAGACTTATCTATTTCTTCTTTTCCCATCGGTATGTTTTTCTTACCTTATTGAAGTGGTTAGAATTTCCTACATGATGTTTAGTGAGAGTAGTGAGTGGACATCCCTGTCTTGTTCCCCATTTTAGGGAGAAAGCATCCAGCCTTTCACCATTAAGAATTATGTTAGCTGTATGTTTTTTGTAGATGCGATTTATCAAATTGAGGCTGTCCCCCTGTATTCCTAACTTGGCAAGAGATTTCTTTCTTTTTAATCATCAATGGGTATTTGATTAACCTAGTTATTAAGCTTCCCTTTTAATCTATGTTTTATATCTAAAACATCACATCCCCAGGGCAATTTTAGGAAGTTCATAGCATGTATACAAATATACCATAATGTAACATAATATAAAATAACGTAACACAAAACAACATAACATGAAAGACCGGTAAAATTAGCATAGGGGAAATAAAATGAAGCAGAATTCATACAGAAAGTTTCCGAGCACTTGCTAGAATCAACTGAATTTGATTCTAGTTTTTACATTCAAAGGCTGATATTGAATTCATTAAGACCTTTCAACTTCTTTAGAGCAAGGACTCTGATTTATTCATATTGATATTCCTTGGCTTAGCACAGTATAGAAAGTCAATAAGTGATAGCATAATTTAATTAACTTACTTCCAGTTCATTCATTAATTGCATGCCTGTCAGTTTACATCTACTTATAGAGACTCAAGTAAGGTTTACTTGAGTAAACATTCAATGTTTCAACTTGTACTCAAGTAAGAGTGTTTATGTCAAATACATCATCCTTAACACCTTTGATATTAACCTTGATTTAAGCTTCCCTTTCAAAGCATCTCTGTATAAATCTACCTCTAATGCCTTTATTAGTATTCATTTATGGATGGGAAAATGGGCAGAAGAATGACACGAGTTCTTTCGGACTGCAAAATTAGATGTGTTTTTTTTTTGTGTTACATAACTTCCTTTGGCCACAACAAGCTTACAAAATGTATGTCCTTTCAAATCCTCGTACAGCTACTGAGAGGATACTTGCTGCACAGGTCTTCTTTGAGAGTAAGGGAGGAATTGTAAAGAAATCCAATCCTTTCTTCAATATAGCTGACTACTTTTCTTTCTTCAACTTTAGTGAATATTTTCAACTGGAGTTTCAGGTAAACTACAGTGTTGTTGCAGCTTATAAACATTTATGCTTCAATTGTCCATGGAGAAAAATAACACACCCTTGTTACCACAAAAGATTTTTGCTAATGAGAACCTGAGTAAAAAAAAAAAAAAAAAATTATATTCATTTCCCATTCTAAAAACCACTTGCTTTTCTGAAGTTGTTTAGCTATAGCTTATAATGTGCATATTCCTTACAAATATTAACATATTGACATGTTAGATTCCTAAAGGTTAATGTTAATAAAGGCTAAAGCAATTGTGAAATGTTTTCATAGCCTAATCTCGTTGACTGTAGCAAATGAATCTGAATCCTACCAGAATTTGTTGATATATATATTAAACTGTAGACTATATATTGTTATAAAATATAACTATATTGTTATAGCTTCTTGAGCATACTCAGACAGTGGTACATGTATATTTTATTAATTAAAAAAAGAACCAAAAAGCAGTAACAAAACAATTCTTCCAGTTATTAGAAAAATAGTATTTTATTTTACACCATTTCTGCTAAAAGAGTCTTTTGTTGAAGACGGTTTGTTGTATTGATATATAATTTACAGAAAATTTCTGAGTTTTTTATATCAAAAACTGCCTTTATCCTTTTCCTTGCTTGATAAATGAGGCATTATCATTTCCTATTTCAGGAAGGGAGTGTACTCAGGATGAAAGCACAGCAGCTGCCATCTTTACTGTTCAGATGGATGACTATCTGGGTGGCAAGCCAGTGCAGAATAGAGAACTTCAAGGCTACGAGTCTACTGATTTTGTTGGCTATTTCAAAAGAGGTCTGAAATATAAGGTAAACAGTTCTGTCTAACGGTTTCTGTTATGAACCCCTTTCTTCCTGTCCATCCATACCTCATGTCTTCATAGAACGAAAGCACATCAACGGCAGTTTTTTGTTTTGTTTTGTTTTAATCCGTTTTGTTCACTGATACATCCCTAGCACCTGCTAGGCACCAATAGGTGATCAACAAATGTTTGCAGACTGTTAGGGGGCAATATGGAACTAGTCTTACTTGATTTCACTTAATAGGTGCACTTTTAGTAGAGTTAAGAGCTTTCAGTTATGTTATCACAAGGAATTACTGAAGTGAAGTTACTTCAATAAGTAAATGTTGGTAAATTGGGTATTAACAGTTTTTGTTTTGCTATTCTAGAGAATCTCTGAATTTGCTACAAATAATCCATGATGTGGGAATCTCAGTTGCTCTGGAACATCTTAATATAGTATTTGTAACAATTATAACTTCAGTTAATACAAAGAACTGTACATATGGTGTGGTTTGATCTTGGAAACAATACAAATGTAACCACTGAGTTGAATATATGTGTGGTTCAGCCTCACAAATTGAAATGCACATACACTGGCACACACTCACACACACACACACACACACACACACACACACATACACACATACACACACTCATACACAGTTTATTGGCCTGAAACACTAATCATCAGGGCAAGTGTGTAAGCGTTCTGTGCTCAGTAATGGGTCTAACAATAGCTTCCTCATGTAGGTGTTGCAAGGATTAAGGACTAAATTAAATAATACAATATTATGTGCAAATAATACCTATATTGCACATATATAATCAATGGGAACTTACATGACTATTCATCCTTCTGACTATTAACAGGGCTTCTGAAATCAAACTTCTGGATACATATTTAGAAGTGGTTATGGTAAAAGTAATTTTACAGTTATTATATCCTTTCGAATTATCAACATTAAAACCACCACCAATCAGCATTTTTTTAGAAAGGGGATGTTTGCAAAGGGAGGTCAAGTTTATCAGCAAAAAAAATCAGTTCACTAGCTTATCATTAGTGACATTGAGCAAATGACAATGTGTGCAGTTGCAACACTACTTGATAGGAAATGTAGAAGCAGAGATAATTTACCACCCAGAAGAGCAAAGGCGATTGTGTTATACTTAATTTCATGCTTATAGGAATGTGCTAAGCAGTTTACATATGTTATCGCGTTTAATCTAAACAACAGTCCTGTGGTGCAGTTTCTATCCTTATCACCCTATTAAAATAAGTAAACAGAAACTTAGAGAGACTAAGTAACTTGCCAAGGCCTAATGGCTCGTATGTTACTGTGAGACTATCTGCCTCCACTGCCTAAGCTGATAATCTTTATACTATGGTGCTCTCAACCTAAATAAATACTTGAAATGTCAGGACAAATTTTTTATGTCTACTTGAAATGGGAAAAGCTTGGCAAAGCCTATCGTTACCAAGACAGCCACCACCATATTTAGTTGTCAGACGTAATGTAAAGATTCAGCTAGGAAACATTAAGACCACCTTCTCATGTCGTTTCAGTGACTTCACTTTTTTTTTTTACGTGACATGTTTTAGAGGGTTGAGAGGGATTATAAAGGGCTATTACTTACACCGCTCCCTGATATTAAATTGCTGGTTAATTATACCTTTCCCAAACTCAAGAAGACCCAGTCTTCAGCTGTGACTGTAAATAGCAACCATTAGACGTGTTCCAGCCAGCAAAACTGTATTATGTCGCCACTGCTTTCGGGGACCTTGTTGAATGAAAACATCTACCTTGTTTGCATTCTGTAGAATAGGTAGGAAGAGGCAGGGGGTTTCTAGTAGGGTTGGTTCAAACAATATTCACACACATATATGAAACAAAGTTTTTTGTGCATTTTTGGCATCAAATATTAGAAAGGAAATCAGTTTTGAAAATACTGTTAAATGTTCGTAGACTATATATGACCATGATGGTTCACCATATGAAGTTAGCCTAAATGTTGAGCAGGTGTTTTTAGTCTAAGTCTATTCTATATTTTATAGCTTTTTTTCAGATTTCAGGGTTCTTATACTATATTTTTCATCAGATCACAATGTACTTATTGAACAAAAAATCAAAATGGCTAAAAACAGTAGTATATAGATAACAACTTGTATTTTTTTATTATATAGTACATTGTTCCATCAAGAAATATGCCAATCTTTGCAAAACTATGGATTGGGAAATTATTATATATTTCTTAAAATTTGTAGTTATAATGGTCCTGATGTCAACATTTAGCCCATACTAACAAAACCTTTCTATCCATAGGGCCTTTTCCTGGAGAATGGGGGAAATTTAAAGTTAATGGAAATATAAAGAATGTGCTAATGATTAACTATGCAGCTTAGCCTCCTTTTTTGGATTCCCTTATATGTTTATGTAATAAATTTGAAGGTTGGGTTATTTTATAGATTACTTATACTGCTAATTTTTCTTATATTACCACGGGAAGCCTTGTGTCAATCAATGACAGAGATTGGTTTACACTGCATCTTTATTATATACATTACCCCATAATTAATTGTGGAAATAAATAAAGATTATTGTTCCTCGCATTTAATTAGGAAAAAATGAAAAGATAAATGCTGATTTCAAATAATGCAAGAAGATGTACTTGATACAGTTAATATATTTCCTTCAGAATTTCTTACTTCAGTGTGGTTGTGTATTGTTTTGTTTTGTTTTTGGTTGGGGGTGTGCAACCAATATACTGCACCTCTCCTAATTTAGAGTATAAATACCCAGGCCTGACATATTTAGTAAACTCTTCTTACCAAAAAATAAGACAGGTGTTTTTTGTTTGTTTGTTTTAATTTAAAAACAAGAACCATAAATAGTAGCAGCCCATACCTGGCCAGCCCTTAACCCCCCTTCTCTGTCCTAACGCTGTGACAGTGGGCACATCAGAGTCCCTCATTCTCTGGGTGCTTCTCACCTGCGTTTGTCACCTCCAACTCTCCTCCAACCTCCTGCTGCCTTCTTCCTTGAAACCCTTGTCTGTCTGCTCATTCCAGGATTTAAGAATAATTAGTTGCCAAAGGACAAGAGCTGCAGCTTCTTTTTGTTTAGGTAGCAGGTTTTATATTGTACAACTGAAGGTTCTCGGTAAAGATTTGCAATATTTAATTGAATGGTTGAAATAGGAAGAACAAAGAACCTACATTTATTTTTTTTAAAAAACCTACTGACTAGTCAAGGAATTCTATTCTTCATATTTAATTTTTCTCATGTGCTGAGGTGGCTCTTGTATCTTGGCTTCACAGGCAGTTTGGGCTCAAACACCCATGGCTTTACACATGGCTGCGTCTAGTCAGAAACCTCACCAGTTTTGGTTGTTTTTTTTTGTCTTCTTCCCACTGATCAGGCTGGAGGTGTGTCGTCTGGACTAAATCATGTTCTCACAAACGACCTGACCGCCCACAGGCTCCTGCATGTGAAGGGTCGGAGAGTGGTCAGGGCCACGGAAGTCCCTCTTAGCTGGAACAGTTTCAACAAAGGCGACTGCTTCATCATTGACCTCGGCACCGTAAGTTTATAGACTCGTGTAGACATCGAAAGGAAAGTAAATTGGCTTCTGATGTACGTGTCATGGGAGATAATCACTTTTTCTACCCACTAGAAAGAGGTCATGTTTACATGTGATACAATCATGTCATATGAGTAATTGGCTAGTGTTTAAATGACACGTAAAGTGGGACTTCAAAGTTTTTATTTTCTTGGAGAGGTTTAAAAGGGTGTAGTGATTTAGTTCTTCCTACCATAGAACATAAATTGAATAATCTTTCATTATATTTCCCCTTCTCTCTGAACAGAGCTTCCTCTAATTATTTTTGTCTCTATTGGTGTGTGGGAAAACATTACTTGAGGGGAAAATTGATTCCCTGAGAAAGCGAAGGTTCAAGAATTTTACATGGACATAGTATAAGTCCCAACAACCTTCCTGAAGAGTTTTGGGCAATATCCCTTACACACACTCACACACACACACATACACTCACACACACACTCACACAGACACACACACACACATGCTCACACTCACACACACACGCTCACACACACGCTCACACACTCACACTCACACAGACACACACACGCTCACAAACACACTCACACACGCACTAACACACACACGCTCACAAACACACACACGCTCACACACATACTCACACTCACACACATGCGCTCACACACACACTCACACACTCACACACACGCTCACACACACTCATAACTCACACTCACACACACACACGCTCACACACACACTCACACACACACTAACACACACGCTCACAAACACACACACGCTCACACACATGCTCACACTCACACACACATGCTCACACACATACACACTCACACACACACATACCATACTATTTCACACTTTTTAATTATCTTAGTGTTATTGGAATAACAGGCACAGTACAAATATCAAGTATCATCTTAATGGGATGAGCAATGTTATATTATATCTGACCTATGTTTTCTTCCAGGAAAAGAGACCTCTCTAATATCAGGTATACGAAATTACTGTTATCTTGACAAAGAAGTATCATTGCAAGGTTTTGTGCGAGACTCGAGTAGGTAGAATTTAAGTTGTGTCTTTACAACATTGGAAGGTTTTAAAAGTAGAAATAAAGGGCATGACCCCAACCTTTAAACACCATTAATTTTTCTAAATTAGCGTATACTTATAGTTTTATTACTGCTAATATATAATCCAGCTGCTTTGGATCATAGCAGTTTGTGTGCACAGTGGAGATCATAACATTAATGTCCAAAGTACAATTCTCAGTGTCACCCTTACACATCAGCACCCAAAAATGATAGTACTCTTGCCCTGAATCTCAGAATGAATTTCATGAAAAAGTCCTTCTCAACTTTAAATGCTAAGCCATTCCCCTAACAAGGCTTAAGTCTTGACCCTCAGATCCAGTCAGAAAACAAATGCTGACCCATCCCTCCCTTCTCCTGCAACCAAAACCGTAACTGATACAAATAGAAGAACTACGTGTGTCATCATTGAGCCACACAGTTCCAAATACAGTTACAGCATTCAGAGTCCCTCAAAGCCCACGCACAATAATTGATTGACTAGCTCAGATTTCATCTCAACCCCTTATATTTTAAAGCCCCTTTATCCCTTTATAAAGTACTTTTACATATAAGACTGTATTTTTCATAGAAAAAGGGGATCTCAGTTTTCATCCAAGTTTACTGTAATCTCAGGTTCTTACCTATAAAAAGTTAGCTGTTTGATTAGATGATCTCAATGGCCCCAAAACAAGAGACTCTTCCCATTGATAATGTAATTCTTCATTGCCATTACTTGAAAATATTTATTTTCTAAAAAAAAAACCCAACTTTTTATGACTCATATAATTGCTCTACAAATTCAATAGTCGTGAATAGTGTTCAGTTCAGCCATCTACTGTTTGGTCTTAAACAAATAATTAACCTCTCTAAGCCTTAACTTACTTTCTTTCTCTCTTTCTTTTTTTTCTTTCTTTTCATCTTGACTCTGGTTTCTAATGACATTTTTAACCTTAGCTGGCTATGATTCAGTCTCATCTGATACACAGTCACATGTGGAAATGACAATTATTATCCCAGTTTCACAAGAGGAAGAAAAGCCTTAGAAGGAGTGAGCGAGTCACTTGCATTAATACAGGCTGAGTGGTGATCAGGGATAGGACCTGGGTTTTTCTACGTCCTTTTCATGACGCTAAGTGAACTTGGCCGTATATAAGATGGTATGACTCTATGACAGAACATCTTGCAACAGTTTCAGAAATTGCTGAATTCAGAATTGGTTATATATAACCAGGCTTAGAATTTACTGAAAGTAGTATTATTAGTGAAATCACTTATTATTTTGTTGACCAAGTATCAATTGAGTTTCTGCTGTGGGCTAATAGTTGGGTGATGTAGTAGACAGATCATCGTTCTAGTAACACATACTGTCTTCCCATAGATAATGTCTGCCCATGGGAGTATGTCCCACAAGTCCAGGCTCGTAAAAAATGGACAGAATCTCTATTACAAGGTTCAAGGACATTCATCTGTTTAATAGTAAATTATCTTTATTTTGTATAGTTAATGATCCTTAATAACTTTCAAGCGGTCACCCGCTCTCATGCCTGGTTAGAGACATTTGGAATGATTTTGTTGTGAAGCTACCTGAGTTTGATTATCTCTTCTGTTGTGGAAGTTTTCTGCACCCCAAAGGGATACCTTCAGAGGAATCAAGCACTGGATTCCTAAGGACATTGGAACAAATACCCACCCGATCTGTGTTTATGTTACTAACCTTTAACCAGTTGGTGTGTTGCCAAAAGTTACTAAATGGTGATAAGATCTTGCATTAACCAGGGGACTTTATTTTGAGGGTGTGTCAAAGTAAACGAAGAAGGCATGGAACCAAAATTTTCTCTACTGTGACATTTTAATATTGAGTTAATTATTTAGAGATCACCTTCTGCATTAGAGAGCATAAAAGGAAACCAGTGCCGCTTCTTCAAGTCTGTTTGATTCCCCAGGTATGAAAACGGTAGGGTAGACATCTACAGCTGTCTCCCAACGAAAGCCCGCTGGCCAACACTAAGGTTATAGATACGTATAACCTAAATCTTAAATCTTCACTGTATTTGAGGGAAATCAGCTTTTTTGGAAAACAATCACTGTTACTAATATAATATGCCATATACTTTGAAAACATTTTCTGTGATGAGATTTTAGACTACAGTAAATATTCCCTAGATGTGACAATGTAACCTCCTCAACCTAAAGTATGAGATTGTAAAATTATCCATTTAATCACTTTGAAAGTTAAGAAAATCATCAACATTTTAGAGGATGATTTGGATAAGTTGTCTTATATTTAGTTTTTTTCAGAAAAATAATGTGGAACATAGCTAGATCTCAGCAATTTGGAATTTACTGTATCTTTGGAAAATGTTTTGAACCATATATTTTAAAGTTAGTGAATTTATACATCACTATTTTCCCACTATTTTTAGAACTATGAGGTATTTGTAGAAAATTAACTAATACCTTACATCTAAATATATTGCAACAAATCGTCCATAACTACAGAATGTGAATGATAATGAAAAAAGCCCATATTCTCAAAGCTTGGCATCTGGAGTTAACTCTTTTAGGAATATATTTCCAAGTCAACCACTAATGGAGAATTAGATTTTACCAGAGTGGGAATTTCTGTGGTGAGTTCTGCATGATCTGTTTCCTTGTTAACTTGTTTGGTCAGTTTTGCAGCTTTGCCCTACTCCCCTTGCTGTTCATAATCTATTACCCCACTCTCTCATTATCCTGTCATGCTGCTTTGAAAAAGCAGTCTACACTTCCTTATTTACCAGTCAGTCATCAACCCACGTTTCCTGGCTTTCACTCCCACTGTTTCTTTGAAACTGTTCTTCCTAGGGGCATAACGCCTTCTGCTGAATCCACTGTCCCCTTTATCATTATGCACTTGATCCCTGTGCTACGGGTGACACTTGATTACTGCTTTGTACTGCAGCCTCACTCCTCCGCTGGCTCCTTGCTTCTCCCGTTCAAGCTACTCTTTCTTCTTCTTGTTCGTAAGGTCTGCCTATCCCCTCAGGGTTTTTGTTTGTTTGCTTTTTTAGCATTCCACTTTTGATCATTATCTTTTCTTCATATATTCTTCCTGAGCAAACTCGTCTTCACCCAAAGCTTCAACTACTGGCAAATCTCAGTTTTGTAGTCCAGCGCCGACCTCTTACCTGAGCCCTATCTCAGTATTTCAGACTGCCTCCCAGATGTTTCAGCTTATGTGCATCATGAGAACCTCAAACTCAAGTCTAAACAGAACTCATGAACTTCACCCTCTCATTCCAGAATTATTTATCCTGTTACGGTCCTTATCTTGTGCACGGTGCTCGGCGAGGCCCTGAAACCCAAAATCCAGGCGTCATCCTGACAACCTCTCCCAAATGCTGCGCACTCCCTCCATCGTATGTCTAGCCTATTCTACCTCTGAAGTGTCTCTTGAATCCTTTCTGCCCGCTCTGTCACCATGACACTCCCTCAGTACCCTGTGTGTGACACTTTCCCTAAAGTCGCCATGCTTTTGCATTTGCACACATTGTTTCCCCAGTGTAGACTGCTTCTCTTCTTCTGTGTCACCTTTCTCCAGTAAACATCTAACACCATTTCATCCCTAAATATTCAACTCAGATATTGCCGTCTTTATGATGAGTTCCTGACCTCTTCCTCGTCTCCTTCCACTGTCCTATAGCATACTCCTGTAGGTTTAGGCATACCTTATCTTAACTCGCCTCTCAGTACTTTCTGCATTGCCTGTCCATTCACTTATTAACCTCACCCATTCACTTTGTCCCTAATATAAATCCCAGAATATAGTCATTCAACAAATGCATAGCTGTCCAACAAGCCTCATGCAGTCATGTATATAAAGATGTAATTTTCTTTTTTTCATCTATAACTCAACCTGACTTGATTAAGAAGCTTCTAATTCCA